CGACGGGGGTGGAGGGAGGGAAGCGGGAGCGGGAGCAGCCGCCGCTGGGCCGCGCTGCGTGCTGGCACCAAGACCCCGGGGAAGGAGCGGAGGGAGCGGCGTTACCTGAGCGACCCGAGCCGGAAGAGCCCGACCGCCACCGGCACCCCCGCGCCACCCTGACAGCTCCCGGCGTGCCCCGCGCCGCGCCCGCCCCGCCCGCCGCGCTCCGCCGCGCTGCGCCCCCTGGCGGGACGCGGGCGAGGTGCGCGGGCTCCGCGGGAGTGCGTGTTTATCTCGCGTGATGTCTACTGAGCTTACCAAATACAGCGCAGGTAAACATGGAAAGTGAGGGCTTCTTTAGAAAATTGTAGTGCTACAGGTTCCCCAGGGAAGCTGTGAATGGCCCATCCCTGGACGTGTTCGAGGCCAGATTGGATGGGGCTCTGAGCAATCTGCTGTAGTAGAAGGTGTCCCTGCTCACGGCAGCGGAGGTTGGAAGGAGATGATCTCTAAGATCACAGAATCAATTAGGTTGATAAGATCTCTAAGATCATCGAGTCCAACCTACGATCAAACGCTACCATGTTAACCACACCGTGGAACTGAGTGCCATGTCCAGTCTTTCTTTAAAACACCTCCGTTGGAATGTGATGCCCATTCCAATGTCTAACCACCCTTTCTGTGAAGAATTGCCTCTGGAAGTCCAACCTGAACCTCCCCTGGCACAGCTTATGACTATGTCCTCTTGTCCTGTCTCTGGTTGCCTGCCAGAAGAGGCCAATCCTCACCTGGTCCCTTCCAACCCAAACTGGTCTGTGATGCCATGATGTGATATTACCTTATGTTAGCAGTAGCTGTAATGGGATTTTTCTAAAATTTCTTGTGATTAGTATGCTTGAATCCTTACTACACATGAAAGTGTATGGGTGCCCACAAGGACGGTATTCAAAGGACATTTTACTGCATTGCAAGAGTGATTTTTCAACTGGCCAGTTCCACAGTACAAAGGGTACAGCTCTTAGACTGTAATCTGTTCATTTTAAGTCATCATTACAGTTCTCAAATTTAAGCAAGCTTCATAATAGCAAACAGAGCTTATGGTTATAAATTACTTGAGTAACTGCAAAAGAGAAAAAAAAAAAAAGGTGTGCTCAGCTTACATGATTAATATTTTAGGCTTTGTCTGAGGACACATATTTCTAAAATATTGCCAGGGGAAAATCTCATCATATTTATAAATCGTCTACTCAGTGACTTATGTTGCCAGCCAATATTTAATGAAGTCTAATTTTATTTTCCAGACTTGAGATAATAATAAAGAGTAAATGCAATTCCTTTTCTCATTAAACTATACCAGGAATCAGTAAATGAAAAATAGTAACTTTTTGGAAAGCTGACAATTTCCACTGGTTTTCTGAGGCATCAAGTAGGACTCTACGTGTCATGTATTTTTATTAAAATGGTAACTTAATTTTTTTTTTTCTTTGAAGATACTTATAAATGCCTTTGAGAAGTAATTTTTAACTAGGTTGGTCGTGCTTTTAGAGCTATTTAACAGTGGTGGACTTCACAGAGGGAAGTGACTGTCCATAACTGACCATGTGCTTTCACATGCTACTGCATTGCAGAGTGGTTGGATGTCTAAGCTTCCCTTGTGCTGAATTTAGTAGTGGCAGTTACAGCTCAGAGCTCCAAAACACTTCTTTCAAATTGCCTCATCGACTTTATGTGCAGTGGCAATCAAAAAAACATTGCATGTTGTTGGGAAGAATATTGAGAACAAGACAGAAGTAGTTGTTTGGCTGCTGTGTAAAAGGCTGGTGCAGCCTCAGATTGATTATGGCATCAATTCTTGTCTTCACAGCTCAAGAGAGATATAGAGAAGTTGGGAAAGACACTGGGGAGAGATGTCATGCTATATTACAGCAAGAGCAATAATGACTGTGACTGTTCAATGCAGAGACAGAAAGCAAAGGAGAGGATTGATTGAATTCTACAAAATCATGAAAGGCAACAAAGTTGTTGTTAACCAACCCCCACAGTATGAGAATGAGGAGGCACAGAAAATTCTTTGCTGCAAAGGAGAAAACTTCTAGAACATATTGGCACCAGGGGCTGGGGACTTGGACACTATCTGTAGGTTGAAGGATACATTATTCATATTGATGATAAACACATCCATAAGTGAACACTGAAGGAATTGGGTAGGGATGTCCCCACAGGGGAAGTACCTGGAAACAACCACACTACGGAGCTCTTCCTTATTAGTACCTTATTTTACTGATGTTAGAGTCAAAATACTGGGCTGGGTGCAGCACTGATGTTAGATGCACTTGCTCTGTAGGAAATTTACCTTCCTTTCTCTGTAATTTTTTCACAGCAGAAATGGTGAGAAACCTATAATAGACAATTTTGAATAAGTGAGGCTCACACCCTGTGAACACTTAGGATTATTCATAACTTCGTAGCTTTGGGTAAGGCTTTGTAACATCAAAGGCCCTTTTACTAATACTAGGAGTCAATTTTCCTATAATTACATGGGGTTTATGTTTGACATATGACCTACTTGTCCACAACAATTTAGTTCACAATATAAATTTGTTTGTGAAGTAATTGGAAATGAAACCCACAATTTGGACTAATTATTTTTCTTCCTTAAAAACATAAGGAAACAAACAAACAACAACAGAACCCCACACCACCACACTCAGAACAGCATGTAGACAGTACAGTCCCATGTTAGAATACTTCAGTAAATTCATGCTTTGTAAAAAACAACAAAATAACTCAGTTGAAACTGTCTATTGCCTGTTGTATTTTTTCCTCACAAAATCTAGTCCTACTCCGTTTTCTTCTTTGGGACTCTCCTACTTGGTTTTGACAACTCCAAGGACTGAGGATTATTTCACTATAAGCCTGTATTTGATCATACATTGCTATAAAAGTGCAAATTTGCCTATTTGTTTGAAGCTTTGCAGATCATGTTTTCAAATAACTCTCTGCAACCACAGAGGGTCTTGTGACTTCTTAAAAAGTAAACACTTCTAACATTGCAGAAAAACTCCTTTTTTCTGAGTGAAAGTTTCTTTCCTTGGTGTCCTTGAACACTGAGCATCTACCTCTTAGGTACAGTGAGGGTGGCATCCTGGATGAAGTGTGCAGTGGTGACAGTGTTCATAGGGTAAGGGAAAGTCACACAGGCATGTCAGGGTGCACTTATAGTCTCTTGATAAAAGATCTCATGAGAGGCAGTAGAAAACCTCACTCTTGAGCAGCAGCTGCCTGAGTTTGCTACGAGTTCAATGTGACAGCATTCAAGAGCTGGTGCACATGGATCAGGAGGAATTCAGAAAGACTTGTAAAGCTGCAAGAAAGGGTGGAAAGGGTTTTTTTTCACCAGGCAGGGGGTGAGTAGTGGTGCCACAGGACACAGTCCCTAGTACTGGGGAGCCTGCCAGCAGTCTCAGCAGAGGCCTCTGCACAAACTGAACTTTGTGGTCGTGATGGGGTGACCCCAGCCAGCTGCCAGCTCAGGGGTAGAACCAGAAGAGCAGAAGCATGAAAAGCTGTGGGTTAAGACAATGATGTTTTAGAGGATGAGGGAAAGAGGAACAAAAAATCCCCCCAAACATATAGACAATCACTCACCACCTCCGACAACAAAACTGCTGATGTTCGGTCAGTATCTGAGCAATGGTCACTTTGGAAAGACTATGCCCTGAGTTTTTATGGGCATAGTCTTTAGTTTTTATACATCACTATGCCACGAGTGATGTTATGTGCCATGGAACATCACTTTGGTCGATTCAAGTCAGCTGTTCAACCTCTTCCCCTGCCCCAGGCTCTTCCCCACCTCCAGCCTATTTGCTGGGTGGTGTGGAGTGAGACCCTGAGGAGGCCTTAACAGTGTGCAAACACCATTCAGCAGCAGCTAAAACAGTTTACGATCAACCCTGTTTGGCTAGGAACCCGGAGCACACACCCCCAGGCACAGCCCACAGCTCCTGTGGAGAGGTCTCCGCTAGAACAGACCCAGGCTCCTCCCGGCCGTGGTGTGGCACGAAAGGAGGAGGTGACAGCCAGGTGTTGACACAGAAGAGATTGGGCATAAGTAAACCCCGTGAGACCGGCCGGTTGTGCAGACCAGGACCTTGGGGCTCGGGACCCGGAGGGACTCGTCCCTGGGCCTCTAGGCCTGACTGTACGGCCAGCAGCGGCCAAGCCGGGGGCGGAGCAGACCCCGGGACACCCTCCCGCCATTGCCACCGTCGGGACCGAGCTGCTGGATCCTGCGCTTGGATCGCAGTGCTGCGGGCTTGGGGAGGAGTGACCTGGGAGCTGTTCGGCGGAGAAGGATTGGGGGGGATGGCTGACAGCCGTAGAAGCGAGCTGTGCCCTGTGGCAAAGAGTGCCAGTGGCACCTTGGCCCGTATCAGGAACAGTGTGGCCAGCATGACCAGGGCAGTGGTGCTCCCTCTGTGCTTTGCAATGGTGAGGCCGCACCTCCAGTGCTGTGATCAGTTTCTGGGCCCCTCAGTTTAAAAAGAATATTGGTGTGCTGGAGCGTGTCCAGAGAAGGGAAACAGGGCTCCAGAAAACTTGTCTTAGCCTCAGCCTCAGGAACGGCTGAGGAGCTGGGGCTGTTTAGTCTCGAGGAGGGTCGGGGGGACCTCACTGCTCTCTACAGCTGCCTGAAAGGAGGTTTTGGGGATCGGTCTCTGCTGCCTTGCCTACTGTGACAGGACTAGCGGGAATGCCCCTAAAGTGATACAGGAGACGTTCAGATAAGACATTAGAAAAATCTCTTCCACCGCTAGGGCGGTCAAGGGCTGGAATGGATTTGCCAGGGCGGTGGTGGAGTCGCCAACCCTGGAAGTGTTCAGAAGGCGCCCGAATGCAGCGCTGGGTGATGTGGTTTAGAGGGGCTCGGCGATCCCACGCAGGCGGCGTTGTGACGGGCGGGCAGCGGTTGCGCGCCTGCGCCGGCGGGAGAGCGGCCGCTTCCTGCGCGGGCCGGCATGGCGGCAGCGTTCCTCATGGAGATCAGGCGGGCGACGCAGAGCGCGCTGCTGGTTGTCCGGTAGTGCGGGGCGCTGCCGCCCGCCGCCGTTCGGGCCGTGCGGGGCAGCCGGGGGGTGCGGCGGGTCTGGCTTTCATCGTCCTTAGCCTTCAGCGCGGGGACCGGCTTGCCTGCGGGCACCTCCCCCTGCTTGTTCGGCTCGGCACTACTGTGCAAATAAATTTTTCCTGAGAACGGTGCATTGTTTCTCGGCTGCTCCTCGTTCACCGCGTGGATCTCGGGGCGCGACTGGGGCTGCGGGGGAGCTGCGGGCCGGCCTGTGTAAAGCAGCAGCGCACCCCGACAGCTCCTTCCCGAAGCATACCCGTTGCTTTTCCTCCGCAGCGCGGCGGCGGAGCTCCCCAGCGCGCCCGTGGATGTGTCGGTGTGCGCGGATTCCCTGGAAGTGAGGAGCGGCGGGAGCTGCGATGCGGCGGCGCTGCCGGCAGGGGTCAGCGTGGCGCCGTCTTCGTGCCGCGGGCTCCGGCGCCTGCGCGGGGACGGGCTGCACCTGCGCGTGCGCCTGCGCCGCCCGCCCCCCGCCGCCGGTGAGGGCGGGCAGGGGCAGGGCAGGCGTTGCGAAACGGGGGGAGGGCGACCTGGAACATGGGAGGTTTAACTGAGAGCGGCTGGGAAGCGTGGATTCTGTAGGGCAAACGCCTTCTGGAATTGTCAGCTTTAGAAATTGAAAGTGCAGAAATGACGTAATGAAAGGGAACCGCGGTGTGTTTGGGATCTGCTCACAGTTCTCCCCTCCTGTGCTTCCCCATAGTACTTCGAAGTGATTTTCTTTCTCTCCTATTCCGCATTTGGTAGCTGAAAATCGTAGAATCATAAAATGCTAAGGGGTTGGAACGGTATTTAAAAATCATCTAGTCGTAAGTCCCCGCTGCCATTGGCAGGGATACATCCCACTAGACCAGGTTGCTCAAGGACTTCCCGAAGCAGGCTTTGAACACTGCCAGGGTTGGGGCATCCTCAGCCTCCCTGGGCAGCATGTGCCAGTGTCTCACCACTCTCACTGTAAAGAATTTCTTCCTAATATCTTACCTAAATTCTCTTTCTTTAAATTTGTACCCATTCCTCCCCATCCTATCAGTGATGGAGTAATCTGATTCATCCAGGCAACCACTATGCTTGTCCATCCTTAACCACTTAATCATAAAGGGTTTGTGTTGGGACTCATTATTCTCACAGCTGGGGTTTCAGAGGTTAATGTCACAGGTAACATCTGCAAAGATACCTTTACTTCCACGATGCTAATTCAGGTCTAGGATGTGTTTGCAATAAATAGAAGGCATGGTAGTACAGCTGTTGCTTTCTTTCATCCTGGCATCCAAGCTCAATATGTTTAGATTCATTTCATATGATGTGATCATATCAGAAAGATATATTAAATAACACAAAATTGCCATTCTGAGCTTTTAAAGTAGAAAAGGATGATAAAATACGTAATATACAGTAATGCAGCACCAGAAACACATTGGAATACTCTGTGGGTATGCTGAGATGGCATCTGTACATTTATCTGTAATGCCTGTGCTTTGACAACTCAGTTATACTAAAATCACTTAATGTGTCCTATTAACACATGTTAATGTGTTAATGTTTCAAAAGACCAACGATGCACTTTTAAAAATCAACCTTGGAAAGTCATGCTAGTGAAAAATAAATATGAGAATGAGGTTGTAATCAACATGTATATTGGATAGTCTTAGTTACCCTTTGATGTTTTATATTATTATACAAAATAGTTGAAATTCTGGAACATTTTAAAGTACTTTTCTCTTTGGTTGTATCCTAAATTTCAAATACTGAATGTCAGTGCTGAGAGTAAAGTTTGATTCATAATTTTGAGAAAGTGGCTGATGCAAAGCATATTCATACCTAGAGTTAGGCTTAAAGTTTTACTTTTCTTCCACTTAATGTTGCCAGATAATTTAGGGACACTTTTATAACTTCTTGTTTTTACTTAGGAAAAGTTGTTTGAGCTGCCTTTTGTGAGACTCTTTTTACTTTCCTGGCCTGCAGAGGCCGTTGCTCACTATCTTTTCCTGGAGTGGCTCCACAGTGGTTGGTTTCTTACCTGCCTGAAAATGTAAAACTAGTGTCTGACCCTGCTCCCCATCCTGACTATTTGTGTAACATATCAGTGTGTCCCCTCATATTGCAGATACACTGATTGTCAGAAATATCATTACAAAAGAGTGGCATTGAATTTTGATTTTCATAATCTTTTTTATAATTGTAATTTTTATAATTATATCAATATATCAGTTTCCCTTCTAAAAAGGATTTGCACCTTGAAAATAATTATTCACATATACAGTTCCTACTTGGTAATATGGGGCATGAGGTAGAGATGACAAGTTTTTCCTAAATCTAAATACTTGCTTTTAAAAAAATTAAGGTTGTGTTTAAAATGTCAGCCTTTTTCTTTGTCTGTTAAATTTATCCTTCTTGTTTTGAGGTATTTGGCAAGATTGTTTTGTACAAGTGACTGAAAATTTTACATTATTTTGAAGATTAATATATTTCCTTCCATCTATAGATGTGGTTTTTACTTTGAGGGAAAGCCTGAAACCCAACAAGAATTACATCTTTTACTGTCAGTCCTGTGGTGACATCGTAGTGAGCGACCGGTGAGTACTGCGGTGTCTTGTATTTATAGCAATAAATGCCATTGTGATTGGTATTCATGTTATTTTGTGTACTTTGAGACAGCTAAAAGGTATTTATTTTGAAACTGGTAGACAAGAACACATTTGAAGCACTGCAGATGACAAAAAGCAAAATTACCTGAAGCAGTTTTTAGCTGTTTATTCATTTGCTCCTTGATTTCTTTCTTTCTCTGTATTTCAGGTATCCTTTTCAGTTCTTTTCAGTCTCTTATACATTTCCTTCAGTCATCATGCTGTAATTATAAAGTGGCTGCTCAGAATGGGGATATTGACCACAGCTTCCTATTATCTTTTAAGCAAAGCCTGCCTCCGCATAGTTCAGAGATGCTAAATTTGGGAAACAGGAGCTGTGTCTTAGCTCTGTGACTCGTCCTTATCTCTGTTCCTTAAAAAGTCTGCAGAGTGAATGAGAATTTTAATAAAAAGGTGCTGCATTGTCTAGCTCTTCTGATGAACAATTTTGATGGCTTCAGCTGAATATGTAAGAATTGTTAGAGGTGTACTTACAGCCTTTTATGATCTGTGTAGCTCCTAATACTCAAAACAGTAATACAAATATATCCCATTTTCTAAATTTCTGTTACTTTTTTGTCATAGGTATGGGTTTATGGCTAACTGAATGATGATTTCTTAACTTTCTCTTTTGAAATGTCTCATCAGAAAGTCTAGTAATAACTCTTATTTTGATACATTTGTAAAGTAGTGAAACTTCTAATTTGTATTCAGTAACATTTGCTTTCAAAACATGTTGCCCGTTTATATTTGCATCTCTGAGTGGGAATTTTCCTGAATTTCAGCACATCAAATTCATATCCATGTAGTTTAAATCTTTTGGTTCTGCGTCCTGTAATGTGACACAAGCAGAATTTTTGAGAAAGGAAAAAGAATGCATGTTCATGCCTTTTTACTTGGCATTTCTCCTTGGAGGAAGCCTCTGAATCCCTGGAACGTTGCTACTAAAAAACCTAAGACACGAGTAGAAAAGTGGAGCTGCCAGTGTATCCAACAGATTCTGTTCCAGCATTTCCAAAAGGAAGAGAGCAGCATAGTCAGAACTTCTATCTGCAGAATTCATGTGCTCCTCTCTCCAGGAAGAATTAAATGTGACAGTGACCGCAAAGGTGGAAGGATTGAAGGGAAATTGCAGAACTGTGTGAAAGAGAGCATATTAAAGTCTGGATTACTAGGCAGGGGTCTGTAATAAGAAACACCTGACATCTAGAAAATCATACCTTTAAGAAGAAATTTAAATAAATGGGGTAGTGTAGATAAGGCTGTGGAGAAGACATAAGATTGTTCCAATATCTAGGAAGTTGCTGCAAAGAGGGTGGCAGTAATCTTCAGTTGAAGCACGAGGAATCTAGGTTAAAATGAAAGGAAAAAAACAAACCAACAAACCACCACAAACCTATTCTAAAGCTTATTTTTTTGCTGTTAGAGACTGCATAGGAAGTCTTCCTTTTAAAGGTTAAATTAAGAAATGTACTGGGAATGGGTTAAATGTAAGTAATCCTTTCTTGGTGCACAAAAATTTACTCTGTGTATTTTCTGAAATCCTCTGCCTCAGTCTGTTTCCTTCCATAAATCTGATAGCTCTTCAGAGGGTTATGCTCTTTCATTCTGTTCCATTGCCTCACATTGCACACATTAGAGAAAATTATTAGATTTTTTTTCTTCCATCAAGCAAGAGCTGCAAAGAATTAGGGATACTTTCTTTTTTCTTTCTCTCCTTCCAGCTGGGCTATGTGTACCTCATATATAAAATAAGTCTTTAAGACTTTATTTCTGTCATGAAAAAATTCTTAAAGGCTTGTGGTGTGTGGATGCCAGGTGCTCACCAAAGCTGCTCTATCCCTCCCCTCATCAGCTGGACAAGAGAGACTGAATGTAACAAATAATAATTGGTACTGCACAAATATTCCATGGAAGAACTCATGGCAGGGGGAATCTAATTTCACTTTTCCTACATAAATAGTGTTAAGCCTGACAGTTAACTGACAAGTTGGGCTGTCCCAAGATTTTTTAATAGGTAAATAATGAAAACTGCAGTTAAAGAAATGCAGTTGTTTTTCTTTTTCTATGATAAAACTGAACAGTTATTATATGTTTAAAAGTCTAAAGTCCATTTTACTTCTAGTTTTCAGTATTTTCAGTAGACAGAATGGTATTACTGGGTATTAGTTAATAATGACATTTGGGTTTACTTTTCTTCATCCAGTCTTACAGGGGTCTCTATGGTCAAATACTTACCTTAGACTGGAAGATCATCTAAGAGTTATATCCTTATGGCAGGGCTCTTATAGACTGGTTCTCAACTTCAAACTTTTTAAAAATAAGTTAATTACCTACTTTTCTGGTTGGAATCTGGGAATTGTCTACAGCAGAAGATTCAGCCTGGCTAGATTAGACACTTTCAGGAGAAAGCTACTCCTAAAGGTACCAATCTAAGAATTGTTTGTTACTCTCTGACTGTCAATGCAGGCTAGGTGGCTATTTTCAAGTACAAACTCAGCTGTTATTAGGAGCAAGTTTGGAGAGATAAGTCACCCTGTTTTCTAGGATTTATCATGTTGGTTAGTAGCCTCAAGTTGGTTTTGTTTGTTTGTTTTTTTTAGGAAGGGTCTGTTTTTGTGAGTTTTATATTTTTCCAGTTCTGGTAACCTAGGATATAGCTTCCCACCCATGAGTGGCAAAAGCCTAAAATACTGTGGAAATGGTTTATTTTCTGTGTAGCTCAGAGTTAGGAGGAGTTTGTTTAGGAAATTCCTACTGGTTGGAAAAACTGCTTTTTTTGGAAAAGAAGTGAAAATCTTTATGCTGTAGACTGTGAGAGTAAAGAAACATTGATTTAATGAAAGAGGAGAGCATGAGTCTGCAGCTTAAGATAATGTCTTTTTTTTTCCCCTGTAAGAACATCACTGAGCTTTTTGTTACTTTTGTATAAAAAGCAATACAAAGACTTTTTTTTGCAGTGTGAGTCCAGGCACCGAAACTAATTGTAAAGGCTGATGAAGAAGCAATTAGACCAACATCAGAACTAAACTTTCACTTTGGCAGGACTGAGTAGTCTCTCAAACAATATGTAAGACCACAGAAAATGAAGACCAACATGGGCAGTGCTGAGAGGTGATCTTACTTAGTTTTGGTGAAGCTGCATCAGAGGATCAGTTATTCCAACTTTCATCTGCAGGTGGAGCAAGCAGAGTTTAAAATGTACTGTGTGTCTAGATAAAAAGGATTTTTTTTAATAAAACATTTTTCTTTCACCCACGGAACAATTTAAAAGGGCCAAGAAGCTACAGTGGGAAGAAATGACATCTTCAGAAAATGTTAGTCTAGGAACTGCAGGAGAGGGAGGATGTCTAATCGTTGGCTTAGCAGCTGTGTTTTTATTTGCAAAGTAGCACCATGAGCAAAGTTGTATGTGCAAGTTTTAAGTAAGGAGTAGAATCAAGAACCTCTGGTGAAGATTTTGGGCGACAGCTTAAGAAATAGGGTAACCATTCTAGGAAACTAGGCAGAGAGCAGAAAAGGCAAATCCAATGCAACTGATAATGAAAACAGAGTATTTCCAGAGACAGTACCCTTAGTCCTCACAGCTACCCAGGAGAAAGGGATTTTCCTTTTTTGTATATGACTTGTGAAAGTCAGATCTGAGTGTCTGAATCTAAATTCAGATTGAATTATCCTTTGCTTATTTTTTTGTTTGTTTGGGGTTTTTTATTGAAGATTCGCTGTGGTATTTTTTTCAGGTTTTAGCTTTTTCAAGCTTTTGTCTGGTATATGAAACAACATGCTGAATCTTGCTGTGGCATGAGTCTTTTTCTATTGGTTTTATAGAAAAATTTGATGCAAGGGAACTGTACAAGAAGTAATAATAAATGTAGTTGCAAATGCTCATTGTCATATTTTTCATGACTGGGTAGAACTGTTTTATTTTTGCCATGTGATTCATTTCAAGAGAGGACTGTGTCAAATTCTGCCTTTAAATTATTGAAGATTCACCCTTGGGAAATGCTTCATCACAGATTTGGCAGGAAAATCAGCCTTTGCTTTCTCAGAATTCACCCAAAGAAAGTGCCTTTGGCTGGAAGGAGAGTCAAGCACTTCCTTTTGAGAAAATGCCATACTTCCCCCACTGTTTGTAGAAAGCCTAAACTCTCTTTAAGTGTCTTAGAAGTGAATTATAACTTAACTGAAATATTTGTCTTTTCTTCCCTCTAAGGAAATTTCTCAGAGTTCTTCCTCTACCGAGTGAAAACTGGAGTGATTTAGTTGAAGAGTGGTGTTGTCACCCTGACCCCTTTGCCAGAAGAACTTTGCACCCTCAGCATGGTGACTGTTTTGTTGGAGACACTTTTCTTCTGTTGAATTCAAGAAATGAACCACATGTGCCTGAATCTCCCGTGTGCTGCTCAGAGGCTGCACACCATGTTTCACAGAGTGACTCCAACTTGGTAAAGTATTTTCTTCAAATAGTTCTTAGGTGAAGTTATTTGGACTTTTTCATTGTAAAGTACTTTTTAAAACTAGTTTATTTAATTTGTATGTATTACAGAACTGTTCTGAAGGTCATAGGGAGTTCTTGACATTCAACTCTACAGAAGCCAGAAAATGTTCCAGGCTGTGTTTTACATTTTCTAAAGCTCACACCACAGTCTTGATACTGACCTCAGTATGCAAGTAGAACTTAGTACTAGAAACAGAAGCTACTTAATTATGTACTTCTAAACCCAAATATTTTCCCCCAAAATTATCATCAGAATTCAGTAAATTAATAACTGTGATGGGTTAGGTGTTTGTTAAAGGGTAGTGGAGCAAAGAATGAGGTGGAAATTGAATTGGAATTGTTTTGTTTTTTTTTCTTACACTGTGAGTTGAGGCATAATCCTGACCATGATTAAAGAGAAGTGGTATTTTTTTTCTCTCTTTTTTTTTTTAGTTTTAGAAAGAGTTGGAAATATCAGAATGTGTGCTTTGCATTTAGATGTGGCTGACTTAGGTTCTTAAAGGATAGTAAGGAAATTGAGTTTGTTTGCTCTGTCTAGTGAAAGGAACCTGCCATCCAATATTATAACTCTTCATGTTGATGTTTCTGAGGTGTTCCAGGGTAAGACAGATTCATCAACCAAGTCTGTAGGAAGAAGGCTGTCATTTGGCTTAGAAGCATCAAAATTTGGTGTTGCTCATCACCATTTGTTGGTGTTTATGTTTCAGTGGTGGGATAAAACCCATGAAGAAAGACAGTTCAGTGCTTTACTTTTGGACATCTAACACCTGTATGAAAGTTCAAGCAATGATCTTTTTTCTTCTGCCAGAAGAATGTCCAGAAACTCAGGTTCACCAAAACCTACATTTCCATAAAGCCTTTTCTGTTAATCTACTGCTTTTCTGCATTTGTCCTGACAAAGGTTGGGCCTACACATGCTGTATTTTCTCACAATTCGAAGTATTAAACTATCTACATTGCTGCCTTGGCAATTTGTGTCTGTAAAAATTGATGGCTTATTCTGTAGAGATTTCCAGCATGAAACATTTAATCTCTTAAGAACCAGACTCCCTGATTTCTACCTCCTGCTTATAGTGATATGTATTATCCCCAGAAAGAGTCACCAGGATTCTTGCAGTTCAGTGGCTGCTGTTGGGGTGCTCCAAGTGACCCCTCTGCGTGGGGAGCAGTTCTGTCCTGTGGTCCTATCTGCAAGGCTTGCAGCTTGCTCCCTTTGGTTTCTTGTTCCATTGTACTTTGAAAAACAGAATATGCAGAGAGGAAAATAAGGACTGATATGCTGGAAAAGTATCAGCATGGCAGACACAGATTCATTTGGCTCAACTCTGTGACAATGGAGTTATTTCTTCTAAGCTTCCTTAAGAAGGAGGTGGAGTAGATGATACCAAATTTCCAAGAGGACAATGCTTTCTGCTAGTGGTTGCCAAAATGAATTCTCACATTTCAGTAGTCTTAAAAGAGATCTTAGAACACCAGGAATAAATATGGGAAGAGGCAGTGCTCATGGAGTTCATATTGCACACTTCTTGATCAAAGAGAATGTTTGTGAGTAAAGGATTGATTTGGAAGCAGAAGCGTAATAAAAGGATGTGGAACAAAGATTTTATTGAGATGTTAGTTGAACCAGGATAACAGCAGAACTTTTGAGTGAGGGAGGAGGCTGTTTTATGTCAGGGGCATACAGTAGCAGTTTAGTGTGATGAATTTTCATGTTTGCTTCCTTATACTTGCATCGAAGTTGAGAATTTGTTCCTTGTTTGTATCCAATCCCTTTTTCTACATCTTTCATGCTTGCAATGAATTCTCATTTCTGTGTTTGCTTATTTCCAGCATCACTCAGTTGCCAAGCAAATGAGCACAACTGTTAGATCCAGCAGAAGCTAGACTAATAAGGAAAAAACCCTCATACTGAAGCAGAAAATTCTTCCATAATATGAGTAATAGAAAGTTACAGGCAAGACAGATTGCTATTGGCATAAATGTTCTCATTTTAGAGAATATTGTTGCAGTCTGCCCCAGTATGAAAGTTCCTTTTTAATTGCATTGCAGTTCTTTGGAAAGTGTTTGCCTATGACCAAAATAGTAGCAGGAATGTACCAGAGATGCTTAAACAATCTTTTCCAGACTCCAGTGGGACCAAGACAACATCCATCCATTGCAGACATATTTTTCACATCTATTAGTCTTCCAGTGTAACATAGTTCTTAAATGTCACATGGTTTTGCAGCATCTTAATAGTATCTCTTGGGGAAAATATCTTTCCTGACACCATATCAGGGATCCTTAGGAATAGGAACAGAAACTATTAGGCATTTGATCCACCTGCATCTGCAGATTGCCAGCAGCTGCAAGTTGTCAAACAGATAAATTGTTTTAATTAGTTGAGCTAAAAGTATCCCTTTTTCCATTGAAGCATGATACAAGGAATTAGTGATGTTTTTAGGCACAGTTCTCAGTCAGCACCTGTAACTACAGTCAGAAAAAAAAATACTCAAGTTGTAGCTTTCAAGGAAGTAGTGTGTATTCTGTACTTGTACTGTGCAGTATTTGTACCAGTCTGAAACACTGGCTTACACAAAACCTTGTCTGTTTGTCCTTGCTTTTCACACTGAGCAAATAATTTCCCTATGTTTGAGAGGACTAGCAAGGTAGGAATTGGGAAAGGGAATAACTGCATATATATGAGTCAGATTCTTTTCCTGATCTCCATAACAAGGAGACTGCACTTCCAACATAGTCAGCTCTCAGGCTGTTAGTTTGATTCTCTGTTTTTGACCATCATTAAGGTTGTATATATGTGTACTGCTTTCAGATCAGAGCTCTAGTTGCTACACCCAGGTTAACAAGCCCACTCAGAACCAGTTCTGAAGTTTAGTAAGTAAGATTTGTGTAAATAAAGTTTGGATTAAAGTAAGAATTGTGCTTGCTTGTTTGATGTATTGAATTTAAATATTAACACTGTAATTAGTAGGAGTCTAATAGGGTAGATTTCATCTAGATGTGAGATCTTTTTCACAGGGCAGTAAAAGATGCATAAAGCTAAAGCAAATATTCAGTGATATTCTGGAGAGTGTAGAGACTCCTTGAACTAGATATTTTTATCCATATTTTTTGTTTTTAATAGACCCTTGATGACATTGCTTCCTCTGAATTTATGAAGACCTTTTGAACTTGTTTATACTTTTAATATGAAAAATGCTTTCCTATAGTGAGTACTAAACTGTATTATGCATCGTGTGACAAATGCCTTCCTGTTTTTTTGATACAAACAGGGTTGGAATTTCATAGCATGAGCTGTGAGGGCATATGTTTCATTTTTTTTCTGTTCAGCTTTTCCTAAACATTTTTGATTTTAGGTATCTCAATGACACCCCTCAGTTTTCTGTCTTCCATATGTTCTCCTGCTACATGTATTTTCATGTTACATATGGAAACTGTTTTGCACTTCTGACAGTTATTCTTTGTCAATACCTTTTCTGTATTAGTTTGAATAGAGGGAGAAGGGTTGTTCAAGAGCAGAATCCACTGCACCTTTCTGGCATATGCTGTGTTGTGTATTTCTGCTGTTTCCTAGTAACTCAAAATAATCTGCAGACATTTTCTGCTCTCTGCTGAACATTGAACTGGTATTCAACTCCTATGAAACTGTCCACAGTGAACTGTTACTAGAACTTGTTACTGAGTAATGGTAGTCACATTGCAGCATACTATTTTATATATATATTAGGGAGCACTTAATTTCTGGTGCATTATTTTGCCCTTAGCACAATCAAATTTAGCTTATCATTTCATCATCCAGTCACTCAATACTACAAGATTCTCCTGTTAGCCATTACAGATTGTGCTGTGTGGATATATTGCTAGATTTTAAAATTAGTATGAAACATGCAAGCAAGTCCAAGTGTAAAAAGCTGAAGTAGTTAAGGCAAATATGTGTGCATGTAAACATAAAGAGGACAGAAACAAGTAAAAAGTTTCCTGTTTCCTTACAGTCTGCTCTGTAAATTATGCTAAGCTGCGCATTCCGTTTTCAGAATATCTGAGTGACATTTAAATGATTTTTTTTTTTTTTTTGTCCTACAGAAGTCAAAAGAAAATACCAGAGTAATTTGTAAGCGCTGCAAGACAATGCTGGGAGAAACAGTTTCATCAGGTATGAGATGTCCAAACAGAACTAGACTTGACTGCATCAACCATTGAACACTGGAGGTTAGAAGCACTGAAGGAAAATAGTTTGTCAGTAAGGTGCAGTGTTAATTCCTGTGTGTTTGTCTCGTTCCCTTCTGGAACAGATGAAGTTGTTGCTTCCAGTGTTAGACCTTGAAAATTACTTTCAGCAGGAATTTTGGTTATCCTTGTTTCTGTGGCATATTTGGCTAATTCCAAATCTTTGGAAGGCTCAATGCATGATTCCAGTTTACTAGGAATCCCAGTAAAAGTGGAGATTTGAGAAATTATGGGTTGCTTGTTTTCCTGTCAGTTCTACAGAATGAGTGAAAGGTAAATTCTGAACTTGACCAACACAACTAGAAGCTGAAGATTGCTAACAGTCAGCCTGGTTTTGTGGGGAGGAAGCCTATTCAAAGAAACAGGTTATGCCTCATCCTCATCTGATGATGAGCTGATGGGATTATTGGTTTAAAAGCTGTAATTATATTGGATCAACAGGGTTTACCTGAAGTGGTGTAAAGAAGAGGGTCTGGCTGTTTTTAAAATTCAGCTATTCTTGGCAGAGAAGCAATGATAAGACTGTTATTAGCAGGATTCATTCTTTCATCCTCCCTCTCTTCCACTGCATCAGTCAGTGTGAGCCTGCCTCAGTTCAGAGATCTGGTGAATATAAAAACGTCTTAGAAAATGCAAAGCCTGTTTAAGAAATGCCATAAGGTGAGACAGGACAGAAGATCTTCTGTGTCTTCTGTTACAGAATGTTCTGATTGTCCTGTACAGGGATCTGAACAATACAAGCTTTAATAAAACCAAATTTAAGGTACAACGTTTGAAAGCCCTCAAAGCAAGATGTGACTTTGGGAAAGGAGTGCTGGGAAAAGAGCATGAATAACAAGGTCATGAGTAATAGATCAGTGGGAGTGGGGAAAGGCAAACACTATCAATGTGCAGGGATTTGGTATGCACTCTGCACATGGCTGAAGTTAGGATTTCCATTGTTTTGGCCATGTTTCTTCAGTAGTGCAGGAGATTTTGGTAGAGTTCAGAGCACAAAAGAGATGGATAATGTAAGTCTAGGCAGAACCATCTCTGTGAAAGGAGACTGGAGAGCAAACTTAGACTGGCATGCTTTGGTGCTTCCTCATGAGCAGGTACCAGTGTTTTGAAGATAAAGCAGGATTAGAGTTCTGTAGCTGCGGGGACCTGGTTCAGCTTTGAGATTCCCCCATGGGCTGTTCCTTCCCCCAACTCTCCACATTTACTTGTATGATTTTTTCTTGGGAAATCAGCTTCTATCCCTCTGCAAGCAAACATCTGAATTCCCAATCCCCTTGTAGCAGTAGCACCAATTCCTTACTCAGGGTAATGGCTGAGAAACTAGAGAGACAGAACTGTCTTTTCTTCCTGTCTCCAAGAACTCACACAGCATGGAGCAGACTTAATTAAATTTAGAGGTAAAATATAACTTCCTAACACTGAAGATAATTTAGAAAGTGTAGTATTTACCTGGAGAAGGGGTTACCAAGCCTTTGGAGCGTTTAAAACAGATTAAAGTGTCCTTCTGAAATATTTGCTTTCATCAAGTTTTAATGATATGTGTGGACAGAGATCAGATAAAACCCTTCCATCCTTAAAACTGGTGGACCAAATTAATCTTCCAGTTGTTCACATCTTGAGACTTAGTAGAATGAATTTATGACTCTCAACCTATTTTGCTGGCCCTCTAGTTAGGCTGTATTTGCAGCACAGGCCCAGATCTTCGATATGATCATCTTTGACCTGCCTTCATTGATGGGGAATAAAATATGTCCTCAAACACTTCCATTTAGTGTGAAAAGCTGTCTTAGTGGAGCTTTTGGTGAACAGTTACATTGAAATTCAGAATGTATGCGGTGTTAACATTGAGTGAGTTTGATTTTCAGAAAGAAGTTCCATTCTGCTCTTTGAGCAAAGAAGGAAATTATTCCCCTGTGTGAGCTGTTATTAAAACTGTCTCTAGTGATTCACTGCAGCATTACTAAGCAGCAGAGGGTACTAAAATACTTATGTAAGCTATGCTGATCTCAGTGCTTTAGGAAAGTTCTTTCAATTCATCTTTTGGGTTTGGCTTGAGCTCTTGCTTGCTTGGTTTCAAGATGATTGTTCCCAGCATTAAACAAAGATCAATATGAATGAGAAATTTCTGATCTTGTAATTAGGTTGGAGCAGTTTTCTTCAGGCAATGTAGGGTTTTTTGTTATGGTCGCTTCTACTCCTACAAACCCAAGCAAAATATAATTGTCTGCTGCATCTCTTAATTGACTACTAAACAAATACTTGATTAGTGTAGTGATATGGTGACTTACAGTCTAATCTTACTAAGTTGGTTATTCTGTTATAGTTGAAAAATACTTTTTTCATTTTAGGTACCATTAAATATTATGTCACTGAGGTGGTTATTCAATCAGCTGAGGGAGGTTTCAGTCCAACACCAAGGTAACAAAATAATCACATAATTTGCTCAAGTATACGTTTTAGAAAGGATTCCAGAAATGCTCTGATGTTGTCGTTTCTTGAATAATTGCATATAATAACAGAGTGCAATTTTATATAATCATCACAGAATTAAGCATTGTAAAGGCAAAGTAGCCTGAATTCACTCATGTGCAGTTTTGTTTGCTCATCTTTGAGTGTGATGCAGGAGATTGTGTGTAATTTGTTACAGTGTCTCACTATTGAGGTGATAAGCCAAAATAAAATACTTTTTTATTTTGAACTCTTTAAGTTTGCACAATGTCTGGTGACTTATTATGGAAACAGAAGTCTATTTAATGTAAAGGTAAATTAAGTAAAGTTTGAAATGTTGAATTTGAAGTAAGACTTTTGAATTTTCAAGTAACTCAGTTTGAATTTAAGACTAAGATGAAACAGAACTTGATCTAGCTACCTGGTATCATGTACAATGGTTTAATCACAGTTCTTTCTTTTTGGGAATTGTATTTGAAACGTATGCATAATTCTGAATTTTGTGTTCATATGTGTAAAATATAATGGGGAAAATCTTCTATTCAACCTTTGACAGTTGGTGTCAGCCAAAATAAAGGGTGTAAAGCAATTTAGAATCTTGATCTATTAAAAAAAATTCCTGTTGTAGGAAATAAAAAGTTCTCTGGTTTTGAGTGAGAGGAAGATACTTTCAGTAAAATGTGATTGTAGGATGTAGTGGAATTTAAGTATGAGTTACTCATTTACCTGGAGTGCATAGGTATGAATGACTGTGGTTGCTATGAAAGCATATAATAATGGGGTTAATTCTTAAACAGGTCTCAGTTTGTACAGAGCATTGTTGCTCAGTGTCTTTTGGAATTATCCTCTGCAAAAAGCACATTTAGATTCACCATAAAAGGAGATAATGGAAAAACCTATATTCTGGTAAGTTTTTAAATCTTCATCTTGGTGAAGAAGATTAACCCATGTATCCCAGTTCCTAAATTGTATTATTTATGGTGTTCATTATTGTATGTTTGAAAAAATTACCAAATTCCAGTTCTTGAAGTAGTTCTGAGGTACATCTCTTCAAGTAAGAATATCCACAAGTTTTTTCTCTAATTAGATATGCACATATAAATTTTATTGATACAGTAATGAAAGTACTACAGATGCACCATAAGTAACACAGAAATAACACTATTTTGTATCCAGAAAATATGGAAAGCTTAAGTTTTAATTTTTTAATCTATATTTCACCTTCATGCTCCAGCACTTCTTCTCTTTAATCACCAGAAGAGAGTCAAATTGTATAGCATCTTTCACAAGCATTGTCTCAAGTCAGCAGGGACCATTATTGTAGTCAGTACATTGCATTGCAAAGTGAAGTGAAAACAAAAATAAAATTGCCTATTATGCTTAATGTTCTAATGCTGTTAAACTCGGTTAAGCTTGATATTTAGATAGTGACAGCTAGATTCCTCAAACTTTTAAGATGGATAAGAGTTAACTTAATACTGTGTACTTGTTATAACCAGAGATGTTTCCTTTTATGTCCAAACTAAATATGGGTATAGAATTTGTATTTTTGCAGTTTGTAGGAATAATTCATAGACACAAAGAAATACATGATTAGAGATTCCTGCCCTGGATAAACTTATAAATGCACTTTCTTGAGGCAATGTAATTATATAAACTGTTGTACATATGCATTGTCCAAGTTCTGTGATCTTGGATCATCCAGATGCTGAGGCGAGTGTATATCTGTTGCCTTTAAATAAATTTTAATGCCAAGACAACATTTGTACAACCACTGAGAAATATCTGTTCTGTGATGATAAAATGAAGGTTTCATAAGCATACCTATAATTATATATATTCTAATTGAAGAGTCATCAAAAATCATTGTGATTTTTCCCTTGTAGCTTATCTATTCCCAAGTTACTTAAAATACTAGTGCTTAAGTCTAGTAGTTTATATACAGCAGACTGATTATTTTTTAACAGAAAAATCACTTTATTTAGTAGATTGCCATTACTTTTAGCTCTGAGCTGCATTTTTGCCAATGTGTTGATTAGAGGAGTAGGCTGAATTAGATAGGGGCTGGCTTCTGATTGGCATATTTTCCTTTATATTGGTGAATTGTTAGTTTTTTGCAGGTGTTTTTAGTATTTAACATCAGAAAGTCCTTACTGCTGTCCAGGGTGAGGTTCTCACCACTGTATACACACCAACAGCTGTTCTGGAGTCATGGGTTAAGTCTTAGGACTCAGAGGCCTTGTGGACACAAGTATAATGTAAGCTCTGTTTATATTAATGATTGTCAATAGCTCAACAGTGAAACCTGGGTGCTTGAGGCTGTGAGCACACAGCCAAGTTACACAAGTAGTCTCATCACTGATGCATCATGAACCAGCTGTCCCACTTGTTTGTTTTGATAATGAGCCAAAGATTCTAGTTCACAGTGTTTGTGCTTACCTACATGAATACACACAGCTGAAATTGTGTATGTAATAATTAAGGTTAAGGTTTCTCACAAGTATTTTTAAATTTTTTAAACCACAAATGGTATGTATACTTATTTTCCTAATTTCCTCTGGATGTATCACTTAACACTACCAATTATGTTATTCACACATACCATAATATGGGTTTCCATTTTTTAAGTTATACATATTCTGTTGTTTAAGGTATACACTACTTAGGATGTTGGGTTTTCTTTTTTTCATTTTTAAAGGATGTCAATTAAAGTTTCTTTGTTTCAGGGAAAAAAAGTGGTATCCTTATTTGTCCTGTATCTCTGCCCTCTTCACATTTGTGAATCACTTGCCTCCTCTCTTTGCTCCACTGTTAAAGGGTTCCCTGCCTTGTAGTTGCATGATTTAGAAGCTGAGAATAAGAGGAAGACAGCAAACAGATAGTGAGATAAGAGGACACAAGAAAAATGGGACATTATTGGTCAGCATAGCAACATCTCAATAGATACCTATTTTTTCTCTACTGCAAAAAGTGTAGCTTTGAAAGCAGTAAATAAGTAGTTTTATGGATAGATACAGGGAATTAATCTCATGGATGGGATCAACCTCATAAGACCCAAAAAGATTAAATCTGTGAAAATCAAAAAGTGTGCAGTGGTTTGGACTCTTTGAACACTATCTCTAGTCTTTCAGGTTTGAAGGAAAAGTGTTTTTTGGAGTGGGATTAGGCTATAAAGTCTTTTGAAAATAAGGCGGCTTGTATTTCAGGAGTGAGCTGAGAGGAGTAGGAAGAAATCCCAAGAAAATTAGTATGTAACAAAATGGGAGAGACCTGTCAGTCTGATTATTGTCCCTGTCTTGAGGGGCATGAGCAGAACCAATTTGCATTTGTTAAGATTGGAGGTGGGGTGAACATTGCAGTGGTCAAGGAGTGAGGTAATGAGAACCTTGCTGAGACTGGGCTGCCCAGCTCTCTCAGGGAGCTTTTTTTTGTGAAATACGAGGAAATGACATCTTTACCTGAACACTCTGAGTGTGAGAATGAAATAGCTGTAATGAAAGATGTTTGCATTAGTGACCTGTGTGATGATGAAAGTCATGGTAATGTCTGCAATAACTAGGAAAGAACTAGCAAGGAAAAATAAAAGATTTAGTCGTTTTTTTACCCATGTTAAATTCAAATTGATGCCTAATTGTTCACAATTTGATGCTGGAAACTCAGAATGAGATATAGGGAAAGTGATCACAGAATCTAAATCAAGGTATTTCAGCTGTTTGGTTCAAGTCCCATGAAGTATAACTGGGGTAGCTTTGTTGCCACTTGTCCCCAAAGAACATCTTTTTAAGTCTCTTGACAAAGTGATTTGAAACGAAAAGAAAACAATGAGAGGAAGATCAACAACAACCCCCCTCCCCCTACTTTTTTCTGATTCTGTCATTTCAGAAAAGGTACTCAATGGCATTGTGAATGAATTCTACACTTTATGTATATATATTTTCTGCAAAGTTTCTTTTCTTACTGGAGTTAATATGGAAGGAATTTGCTTGTGCCAGCTCTGCTGTACAAAGAAGTAGAAAGAAAGGAGAGATTGCACATTGTGAATAACATAGTTGAAAGTACAGCTGAAAATATGAAACTATTAGCCAGAAATACATGTATAAAATTCTTAGAGTCAACACACTGAGTCTGGGTGAGCAATTGTTCACTCAGATCGAAAGCAAGATAAAAAAATAATTTATACATAAGGAAAAGAATGAAAATGCTGCCTAAAGAAGTAAGTGTAGTTCAGAAGTTGATTTTGCTCATGGCTGGGAATCCTTCCACCCCCAGAGATTCATTTACTTTCTCTATATTGTGTGCTAAGTTATTAATGCAGATCTGTTGTGTTGCTGGTGAGACAAAGATATTCATACAAGTTCTAGAACATGATTGTGAGATGTGATACTTGTGTGGAAAGAGGTGCATTTCCAATGGACTATGTTGCAAATTAAATGCTTTGGTTGCTTTCTCTGCAGCAGATTGCAGAAGGATTCTGAAAGAGCAGACAACTATTGCCACATTGTTCCCTTGTCTAGTTTGAGGGATATTCCCCTGCTGAAAAGCATCCCAGGAAGCTCCTTCCACACAGATTTGTTAGAAATTTCAAAAGGAAGAAACTCTGTTCAGTTTGTGTTGGCAGTGGCCTGTGTTTCTGTGTTTCATTTTCTTCCAACACCTCTCCAGCACTTGGCTTTAAGCACCTTGTGTAATGGTCCTAGCTAATGAGGTATATTTTGCAGTTTAGGCTGTAAATGTGTACAGTGAGCTACTAGAGCAAAACTGATGAACAACCTCTTGCAAAGCCAAATGTGCTTGCTTGTCATCATTCATGTGCATATGCTGAAGTGATTCTCCTCCTCCTCCTATTCCCTCCCAAGATATCTTTATCAATATATCTCCTTCCTTCTTTATGAAGCTTCCACTGTAATGTCCTGAGCCCCGGGCTCTGATAAATTGTGACTGTCACATTCAATTACAACATATACTATGTGTCCTGTTAATGACTGCTTTCTCCCTCCACAGGGGATATCATGTGTCTGCTACATAACATCATGTAACTTGTTTTACTTGAAGCTGATTAGATCATGAGAAGCAGAAGATTGCTCTCTAGTGAGCAACACTGTATAAATCCCATTTTCTATGATAAATATTTCATATATAAACATTTCATACAGGTGCCACATTTGTAAAAATTGATTTCCATTGTTAACTTGGATCACTTCACTACTGCAGGCTGTGAATTAAGGAAAAGCCTGACTTATTTGTATGGTGTTTAGCAGGAAAGCCCTGGATCCAAGTCAGAACACTGATACCAAATCAAACAAAGATTAAATAAGATCCAGAATGGGATGCAAAAAGTTCAGATTTCTCAAAACTCTCCCCAGTAAATATTTTTTGAATTGCTGTGAGCAAATAGGGCTGAAGAATGCTAGTCCCATTGTGTAACTTGATGTTTATTTTCCAAGTGAAGGTCTGCTCCAGCTGTTTGTAAATTCCAACATGCCTTTTAGACCATATTCATTGTTGTCTTTTTTTCTTTCATGTATTAGGTCCATAGAGTCATAACCATCATGCATCTTCTAAAAATCCTCAGTTTTTGGCACTTCAGTGAGCAGTCTTTCAGTTTCCTGTCTTTAGCCCTCAGTTGCTCAACACCATATGCTTGACTAATGCCTAAAAATTATGAAATTGGAGAAATAATACATCTGGTACTAAAAGAGATGACTTGGGACTATTGCTTTTGTTCCTACCAAAGGGAATGTGCTACAGCCACAAAAAGAGGCAGCTTCAATACTGATAAATCAGTATTGTATTACCCTTTTTTCTCCACTAGAAGCTGTGCAGACTCTCTAAATAATAAAATATCAATTTATGTCTGTTAATACTTTGTTGGAAACTTTGTAAAAATGTGGCTTTAGGGTCACAGTAAAGTAACAAATTGAAGTGTATCTAATGTACAGTAAACAAAATTATTTTTCATTTATAGATCTGGCTTTTAAATTCTGACACATTGCTGGTAGAGTCTTTAGGAAGTTCCTCCTCCCACAGTGATTTTACACTGTTTGGAGATATCCTTACACCTAGCTCTGGACCAGTGGGATCCTGGAATGCTCTCAAAGTCCTTTACCAGCCATGCATTCAATGCAGAAATAAGGAGTAAGTACAACCTTTTTTAAACTCAGATTCTGGTATTCATTTGCTTTGGGTTAATATATCTTTCATGTTCTTTGGACAGTCTGTTAATCTCAGATATAAACCTCTTTGAATTTGCATATTTCTTAAAATGTTTTTTTAAGCAAAATGCCAGGGGAGTAGTATTTGGTTTCTATTACAGAGAACAACCAGATTGTTGTTAGATTTTTGCATTTTAATATTAAAATATAAACCAAAGAGTTTTGTTGTTTCTTAGGGCACATGTTGATATTTTTGCTTATGCTGTGTTTACATTCCTGTTCGATATAGAAAGATTTCAGTCTGATTGCACAGATTCAGGTGGTACTTGAGGCCAGCTGATACATGAGTTAGTGGAAACAGGTTGAAGTGCATTGGTTGACTTACTTAATGTGATGCATTTGCATTTAAAATCAAGTGTCATGTTGTCATATATACATGATTTCTTGATTAGTGCAAGTTCCAAAATTTTCAGATGCCCACATTCTGATAAAAATTATAGCACTTAACCTTGCTGTCTTCTGCACATACACCTGCCTTTGGAGTAAAGCAGAGGTTTCAGAGCCCAGGACCTGCTTCCCATGAGAGAGAAATAAGCAAGAACACCTCCAGAACAGAAAGGGATGAACAGGAGGTCTGCATGTGACCTAGACCCCAGCAGACCCCAGTAGCTGCAAGGGATAAGTGTGCACTCTGGCATCCTGTTTTAAGTCAGAGGGCCTCTTCAGTTGCTCTGAGTCCCTGGGTACACTTGGGGGGTGTACAATTGGGTCTGTCCAATTCTGACAGGGCCAGAATCTGAGCTGTGTGATGGGAGGGAAAGCTCCTTTCTTACTTGTGGACACTGCAGAGTCTGTGCTGGTTTGCTGTACCATAGGTTAAAACAGATTAAGGTTAACTAGAAGTATTGTTTTTAATATCTAAATATAGTAGCACAATCACATATTTGTAAAACATGGCTAAAGAAACAAAACAAAATCTGTACTTAGTTTATGTACACAAGCATAAATCTACTTATTGTGAGATAAATACACGGTTCCATTGTAGCAATTGACATCTTGGGCTTAATGAAATTCTTTCTTGGCTAATGCTGCTGCTAAAGAGAGTCTGACTGATATTGCCTAATAATTCACATTCAGGCACCCTTTCCTGGGGATGCACTTGAATATTTTTCTTGAGGGGAATGTTGAGGCTTTTGAATGTGATCTTTGTTTCAAGACTTCCAGGGTGTCAGAAGAAATGTATTGTCTCACTCGAAAACTCATTTTATCCCTCCTTTATTCAGAGCTCAGTTTTGCAATTCTTTGTAATTAACTTAATGCTTAATGCTCTTCCTTGGATACAGAAGTGTTTTTCCCCTTAAACTAGGAATTATGTCCTGTGAACAACACTGCTTCAGTGAGCAACAGAACTCTCTTTCCTCCAGTAAATCACTGGCATATCTATCACTGTACCTTACATTCACTATTGCTCTAAATGTTAACAATGCAAAGGAAACAAACATTCAAGTAGGATAAATGTCCGTGGTTCATTATTGGCTGCTGACTGGTAATTACCCATTTGGAGTTGTTGCTGTTTAGGGTGGCTGATCCTGAAGCCTTTTCTAACAAAGCTGTGGTCTGAGTTAGGCTGAGCGTTGCTGTGAAGTTAATTACCTGTTGTGTGGCATCAACAATACTCTGATTTCATGTCAAATTTGTTGATCTATGTTGACCATCAGCTCATTTCCAGGTGGATTGCAGTCTAATAAGCAGCCTTCCTCTTTTTTTTTGTGCAGGTTTGTGCCTTATCAAATGACATCCTAATTTTGTTCAGAATTTTTTTCCTTCTTGGTCATGGCCATTTTTGTTCCCATCATGTGTCCTGCTGGTGGCTCTTCCCAGCTCCATGTTGTCTGTGGAAGGAAGAAGCATCTGTCTTCTTCCAGTCTCAGGAAGAGCAACTGACATGGGATAGGAACAAACTATGAGCATGTCACGTGGAGCCTCTCTCCATATACCTTTATTTTGGCAAGGAATCTTGACAGCTGTGCTCTGGGTATTCTCTGTATATTAGACTGCTTTGCTTGAGGACATTCAGTAACTTTTAAGGCTTTGTGAAGTTAAAATAGGGTTAAGTGTATCTACACATGCTACTTATAGTAGTTCTTGTCATTTCTCCTTAGAGCTGTATTCCTCTATCTTCCTGAGGGTAGCCTTTAAGTGTTGTAGTGAGTTGTATCTTACTCCTTCAGCAGTGAAGCAGGGCTAGAAACACTTAGGTGTGTGTTATGTGTGATAACACAAGTTCTGGCTAAGTCTGTCTGCAGTTATGCTTTTAGCCCCTGGGGGAGCTTTATGAAAATTCTTCTACAGCAAATTAATTGAAACTGCATGAAAAAAGTATCTTATAAATGTGTTTGAGTTCCATTAGAGAAGGACGCCTCATGTATTTTCTGCTCTGTCCTTTATGGATCATGTGCATGTGATTATGTTGGTTCCCTCTGCTTTTCTCTCAACAAGGCTACTTCTTTCCACCTACAAATCTGCTGTGCAGACAGAAGAGGTCTTCCTTTCAAGTAGCAGGTTCTTGGCAAATAACACCTTATGTAAACAGCCTTAGCTGCTGGGAGTGATAATAGTAAATACTGCTGAAGTGAGAGTGTTGTAAAAATGTATGAAGAAAATTGAAAATGTGGTTACGTGGCAATTTGACCATAACTTGAGCTCACAAAATATATGTGAAGGTACAGTGGGAGGAAAATTGCACTTTTCCCTTTAGAGTGCTAGGCAAAGCTTTGTCAAAAGGTCGTTGATAGATTTTTGTGTCTCATATGCATCTCTGAATGGTTTACAGCTTTTGCAGAAACCTTTTCCTATATAAAAATTTGCTGCTTATAATTTGGGAGTTGAAAAATTACTTCCAGAAATTGTTCATTTTATTAGCTTTAGAGGGACAAGAATAAGCTGGAAAATTGAGTTTGTGGCTGAAAACCTGGAGGGTTTGAGTCCTAGTTTTTTTATTAGTCCTAGCTTTTATTACAGTCCATATATAGTTAGCTGTTTATGAAGCTGTTATTGATGTATTCCAGAATGTTGTTTATTGCTCCCAAGAATGGCTTTCATTCTATATATGACCCTAGAGTAATTCACTTCTCATAAAAACATTAAACTGTGTCCTGTTTCACTGATTTTTGAATGTCTGAGATTTTCATAGTGTTTCAGTGACTCTTGCCTGTAGAAAACACATGGGACCACATAGATCAATAATTGATTGACTGAGGAGTGACCAGTGTTTCTCTGGTTTGTGCTATCTGTAAGCTGATTTCTCTGTCTGGAATGATTAAAAGAGCAGATGTGATTGTAAATAGAACATGAAAGGTCTAGTTTGCTTCAGATTTTTTTTTTTTCCTGTTCCCTTCTTGAATTATTTCATGGTACCAAGTTAAGAGAACTGACACTGTGGGTGGAATGAGTTACCTTAGAAGAGATGGCTGAACAGTCAGGCAGAAATTTTTAAAAGACAGAGTCTGATGCCAGTCAGGGTTTTGGGACAGAAAGGAAAAGAATACCTCTCAGAGTTTGATAGACATGTGGAAGCTATAAGCCTCATGAAATTTGAGGCAGCAGACTGCTCTTCAGTAGCATCCTTCCTCACCTCTGAGAAAGAGTGTACACAGCTTTTAAGTATAACTTTTGGTAGAAATATCCTGACTTTCCTGTTTATTGAAACTACACCTGCCAGGTGCAGCATCCCTTTGTGGTAGTTACTTAGGAACTTAGTTCTTGCTCTTAAACACAGACCTGATATATCTTTCTGCTCTTTGGAGCTGTTGTATTTTGGTATCTAATCTTTGCTATTTAAAATTAGAAGTACTAATTGAAGTAGATAAAACTGTTGGAATAAACTTTTTGTCTACTGAACAAATTCTTGTATTTTTTTCTAAAAAATTTGGCTCATTTTATTATTCCTGCTGAGCTTTTTACTTAGGTTGCTTTTTTTTTGTTCATTTTTTGAAATTTCACATTGAAGTCAGAGGAGGAAGGATTTCTACTGCTTTTTAAAATGGGATTTGTCATCCCAAATTGCTTATCCATTTGTTGATTATCTGACTGATAGCCTGCCTGTCTTCTTGTGTATTGTGAAAAATGCTGTTGTATTAGTAGTTGTCTAGCAGGGTACTGCTTTTGTTCTCTGCATTAAAAGTGTTAAATGCTATCTACAGAATAATTGCCAATGTAAAAATATGAAATTGACTGTAAGGGCTATTGCTTAACTACTTCCTATTGTCTAATTTTTTTTAAAAGAAAAGACAGATAAATATTTCTTTATGATCTCTGATCACAAATATGCTTTTGAATCAGGATTTGTGATTCTGTAATGTGGTAAAACAAAAAATAAATTTTAGGCCTTTACCTTTTTTTCCATATTCTTCATATTTATTTGTGAAACACTGCAGTTCAGGTAAGAACAATTTTGGTACTTTTCGTGTGTCTTTGACTTATCTTGCTGTAGTTCAGCTCTTTGAGGAATATTAGGATTGGTAATAAGAGAAATGTCAAGATGGGTGGCAAAAAATTGTAAATTAAAAGCAGCAAGACTACCTGAAACCAATTTAAAATGTGTGTCAGAAACAACTGCCTTGCCAGGTAGTTAATAACACTTATAGGATGATAGGAATGTAAGAAATGCCATGCTGGGTCAGAACACTTTAGCATGTTCTGCTTAGTTCTGTATCATCCCTCCAACATCCAGAAATGTTCTTCAGAGTAGTGTGTGAGCACTTTCCTGTAGTGCTCAGCTCTGTGGTTGTGTTAAAGATGTCAGAGGATACAGCCCTGCCTATTTCCTTTATTGTCTGTTCATTCATCTTTTGGTCATGTGTTTGTATAAATACTTTTTGGCCTTCTGGTGCTGTCTGCCTCCACAATCAAGTGATAAGTTCCAGAAGTTCACTACTGATGTGTAGTACTCTTTTAGCCTCCCATGAAATTACGTCCTGCTAG